GCTGGGCGCTCTGACCCCAGACAGAAACCTAAATACCAAACAGAAGCTGTGACAGCTCCCTGCAATGATGGCACAATTGATCTCCTGTATGGAGAACGGTGCCAAGGAAGCTGAAGTTGCACGTGAAAACCCATGTTTTCACAGAGTATGCTTCATGATAGACTTGGGCATGGTTTGGTTTTACCAACTCTAACCCGTTCAAAGAAGGAAAGTCACCTTTCTCATTTCAGTGCATTTGAAACCAAGTGATTCTGCAAATGAACACAGAGGATGCATAAAGTGCTACTATTCCCTTACATGGAAGACACTGCCCTTAGAAACAGAAGAAGCAAAAGTTTTGAATGCTTCCATTAAAATGAGGTCACTTAAATATCTGGAAGAGAAGTTTCAACTTGCAGAAACCTCCTCCTTAACTAGTTAAACAGAAAACCACTGGTTGGCAAAACAGGCCCTACTTGTTGGCAGAGAAGCCTGCTGCAGAAGACAAAGTAGTTTGATAATATCCAGCAGACACTAGTTTGGGCCTCTGCAGTTAGTGAATTTTATTAAAAATGACACCAAGAAGGTTATGAACTGCTATGAGGAAGAAATGAGAGTCATATTTCCTTTGACCACAGAGTCTTGTGCATGATCCCAGAGTCTCCAGAACCTGCACTGTGTATCCCTCCTTGTCTAGTACTGTTTATTTAGAGGTCCACTCAAACAGGAAAGGAAATGAAAAAATTTGTTCTTGCTACAGAACAACCTCTAAAACCCATATGAATAAATAATCCTTAACCTTGGAATTAGTCTGTTCACTCCTGCCTGAAGTTAACGCTAGGGTTTTTAACAGCCATTTAAAGTAAGCAGTTTTTATTGCTGTACAACAAAGGATTCCAATTTTATCCTACAAGCAGGAACTTGGTCTAGTTGTAGGTCGCTATGCAGTGACAACAAATAGTGATTGCTGAATTGTCTGGACTTGATAGGTAATGCTGAAGGAAAGAACAATGCTGGAAGGCTGTTTCCTTTTGGCATCGTAGGTGAATATGTATATCTTGGGGGTGGTGGTGGGGAATGGAAAGGAGGGAGTTTTCACACAGCTTCCTCATCTGAAGAAAGAATCCAACAGATCAGAAGGAAATAGCCAAAGGAATTATAAATTGTCCTGTTAAACATCGTCTGCTTACAGACAATTAATTTGTCTGTAAGGGCCTGATGGCACCGGATGGGATGGGCCTCTCTCGGAGAGGGGTAAGGATCTTGGGTCAGGAGTTGGCAGGGCTGATAGATAGGGCTTTAAACTAGAGTCGAAGGGGGAAGGGGCTAAAACCAGGCACGCCGGTGAAGACCTAAGGGATGGTACGCTAGAATCAGAGGGGCTGTGTGCCAGTGAGGTCCTTCGGTTCGATCCACGAGGTGCTGAGTGTAAGGAGACGCACCTGAAATGCTTCTACACAAACGCACGCAGTATGAGGAATAAAATGGATGAGCTAGAAGTCCTGGCCCAGTCCCGCAACTACGACATCATCGGCATAAGCGAAACCTGGTGGGATGAGTCCTGTGACTGGGGTGTTGCGATAGACGGTTACAGGCTCTTCAGGAGGGACAGGCAGGGTAGGCGAGGTGGTGGGGTGGCGATGTATGTGAAGCAGGGGCTGGACTGTGTGGAACTTCAGGTCGGCGATGGCAAAGTTGAGAGCCTCTGGGTAAGGATCAAGGGACGAACGAATAAAGGGGATGTCGTTGTGGGAGTCTATTACAGACCGCCTGGCCAGGACGATAGCGCCGATAACTTATTCTTTACAGAACTAAGAGAGGCCTCGAGATTAACTCCCCTTGTCCTTATGGGGGACTTCAACTTGCCAGACGTTAACTGGGAGTGCCACACGGCTGACACGAGCAAGTCCAGGAGGTTCATGAAGCACCTAGATGATAACTTTTTGGTGCAGGTGCTAACGGAGCCAACTAGGAAAGGTGCCCTCCTAGACCTGTTGCTAGAAAACAGAGAGGGTCTGGTGGGAGATGTGGTGATTGGTGGCCGCCTCGGTCATAGCGACCATGAAGTGGTTGAGTTCAAAATTTACGGTGACAGAAGGAAAAGTGCCACCAAAACCTCATCCCTAGATATGGGGAAGGCGGACTTCAGGCTGCTCGGGGAACTAGTCAGCAAGGTCCCCTGGGAAGCTGCTCTTGAAGGCCTTGATGTCCACCAGTGCTGGTCACTCTTTAAGCGATGCCTCCTAGAAGCACAAGATCAGGCGATTCCTAAATATCGCAAGTCAGGCAGGCGGGGCAGGAGGCCGGCGTGGCTGACCAGGAACATTCTAATGGAGATTAGGCGGAAACAGAGAGTGTTTCGCTACTGGAAGGAGGGCCGGGTGACATGGAAAGAATACAGGGATGCTGCTCGTGTCTGTAGGAAGAAAATTCGTGTGGCTAAAGCACACCTAGAGTTGAAGCTGGCTGTGTCTGTGAGAGAAAATAAAAAGGGTTTTTTTAGATATGTGAATGGAAAAAGGAGAACTAAAGAATACATAGGGCCGCTCCTTGATAGGGAAGGTCTTCTCACAGACGATGACATAGGCAAAGCAGAGACGCTTAACGCCTTCTTTGCCTCTGTCTTCAATGCCGATGATGGGCTTCGGGACCCAGGGTGCCCCGAGCTGGAGGACCGGGACGGTGGGGATGACAAACTCCCGACCGACCCTGAACGTGTGCGGGATCTGCTACTCCACCTGGATCCCTACAAGTCCATGGGTCCGGATGGGATTCATCCCCGGGTGCTGAAGGAGCTGGCGGACGTCATCGCGGAACCTCTCTCAATTATTTTTCAACGATCCTGGGAGTCTGGAGAGGTCCCGGTAGACTGGAAGCTGGCAAATGTTGTGCCGATTTTCAAGAAGGGTCAGAAAGAAGACCCTAGCAATTACAGGCCTGTCAGTCTCACGTCAGTGCCTGGTAAAATCATGGAGAAGATGGTTCTCGAACGTATTGAGGCGCACCTGGGGGACAAAGCAGTCATTGGTCCCAGCCAGCATGGGTTTGTGAAGGGTAGGTCCTGCCTAACTAACCTGATTTCCTTTTATGATAAGATCACCCGTATGGTGGACCAAGGGAAACCAGCTGATGTGATTTTTTTTGGACTTCAGCAAGGCTTTTGACACGGTTTCCCATAGGATCCTACTGGACAAAATGTCCAGCATACAGCTAAATAAAAACATCATACGATGGGTGAGCAATTGGCTAACGGGCAGGGCCCAAAGGGTTATGGTGAATGGGGCTGCGTCAGGCTGGCGGGCGGTCACCAGTGGGGTCCCTCAAGGCTCCATTTTAGGGCCGGTACTTTTCAATATTTTTATAAACGATCTGGATGTAGGAATAGAAGGCATTTTGAGCAAGTTTGCTGATGACACCAAACTTGGAGGAGTTGTGGACTCAAATGAGGGTGGAAAGGCCTTGCAGAGGGATCTGGATAGGTTGGAGAGCTGGGCGATCGCCAACCGCATGAAGTTCAATAAGAGCAAGTGCCGGGTCCTGCACCTGGGACGGGGAAACCCTGGCTGCACGTACAGACTGGGCGATGAGACGCTGGAGAGCAGCCTAGAAGAGAGGGATCTGGGGGTCGTGGTAGACAGCAAGTTGAATATGAGCCAGCAGTGTGCCCTGGCAGCCAGGAGGGCCAACCGTGTCCTGGGGTGCATCAAGCACGGCATCGCTAGTAGGTCGAGGGAGGTGATTGTCCCGCTCTACTCTGCGCTGGTGCGGCCTCACCTCGAGTACTGTGTGCAGTTCTGGGCACCACAGTATAAAAAGGACATGAAACTGTTGGAGAGTGTCCAGAGGAGGGCTACGAAGATGGTGAAAGGCCTGGAGGGGAAGACGTACGAGGAACGGCTGAGGGCACTGGGCCTGTTCAGCCTGGAGAAGAGGAGGCTGAGGGGAGACCTCATCGCAGTCTACAACTTCCTCGTAAGGGGGTGTCGAGAGGCAGGAGACCTTTTCTCCATTAACACCAGCGACAGGACCCGCGGGAATGGGGTTAAGCTGAGGCAGGGGAAGTTTAGGCTGGACATCAGGAAGGGGTTCTTCACAGAGAGAGTGGTTGCACACTGGAACAGGCTCCCCAGGGAAGTGGTCACTGCACCGAGCCTGACTGAATTTAAGAAGAGATTGGACTGTGCACTTAGTCACATGGTCTGAACTTGGGTAGACCTGTGCGGTGTCAAGAGTTGGACTTGATGATCCTTAAGGGTCCCTTCCAACTCAGGATATTCTATGATTCTATGATTCTAATTTCTAAGGACGCTACTATTCAGTAACTCAAGCATTCTGTGCAAACATACCCGAGTAACAGTTCAAATGCTTGGATGATTGTTTTAATGAACACACAGCTGGTGTTATTTTATTGTTATGCACAAAGGAAGACAAAATAAGAGTAGAGTTGGAGAACCCAGCATATGATGTCGTAGATTATCTGCCCACATGACAAAAGTGAGCAAACCAAAGCACACACCTGCCCGCCTCAAAAGCCCAAGGTATTGAACTAAACCAAAAAGGAAAGCCACTATAATAAAGCAGATTTGGAATTCCACAGCTAAGCACTCTGTTATTACTCAAATCACTAAAACAAATTAGTGCTTTACAAAAGAAACAAACAAAACAGATGACATGAAGAAATGCAGCTACGAGATTCAAATGTACAGAAGAGCGGGGAGGAGATTATGCCTCATCAACCCCCTCTGATCAGCAACACCAGCTCTGATGGATATGCTCCATGTCACGCGATGCAGTCAGCATCAGGCACACAAACCAGCCCCCACCAAGTTCCCCATCTACCCCATGACTGCAGCGCTTGAGCTTAGCATGATCACATAAGCCTTTTCTGCAAGTCTTCCGTCTTCTTAATCAAACTCTTAAAAACACTCGCATTTAATTAGCACCTTGGACGTTTGTGGAGTTTTGCAGACTGCGGAAATTATATTCCGTTCAGTTAAAATTGAGAGTATGAAGTTTCTTACCTCCTATATTCTGGATAATTATTGTAGCTGCAACAAGGACCTATAAAAAAACAAGTTTTCTTTAGAAAAGGTAAGGATAACTGAAGTCATATGTCTACTGCAGTCATAAAACACATGTATCATCTTGAACAGCCCAGATGTAGAAGCGATAACTGGTACTGAAAGGAAAGGCATCTTCTGTTTAATGAAGAGTTTATAACACACATAAAGCAATGCAATCTAAAATGAATATAAAAGCAAAAAAAAAAACTTCCTGAAATACCACATTTGCATTCTGAGATGACAAAACAACAGTAGCCACAGGGTGAAGCTTGTTTTGCAAATGAGGTTTGAAATCACTGAAAACACACAAGTGCATTCTAATTGATGTTCACCTCTGAAATGGCAATCAGCGGAGATTTATACGAACTACTTCCTCACTGAGTAACTATGAATACTTAACTATCATGAATGTTATGAATTATTCTTTTATTCTATCATGAATTATTCTTTTAAAGTTGTGAACTAGGTAGACATTGCTTTTTCTTTGGTGTTTGCGATTATTCATATTGGACTGATAGGGAAGTAGAAGTGACCATAGGCCATTAAAAAATATTTGTCTGAATCTCTGCAATTGTCAACTCCCAACTGAAAACCCTAGAAGTGGTGTCTAAAGTTTTCCCAGTGTTGTTTTCATTTCAGTTCTAAAATAGCAGCATCATCTAGAATAGCAGAGTTTTTCTCTTTCTGTACGCACTGTTCTTCATTATGTAACAGGACCTTCCTACAAGAGCGCTACCAGAAGGCAGCTTGGAAGAAATCAAGCCACAGCTATGAGAAGAAAAACAAAATTGTTACTTTTGAATAAAATCTGAAAGGAGAATTGCTATTTTTTCAATTGATCAGTTAGAAAAACATATCAGATTTGTAATGAATTGAAAGCTCACAAATCAGCAAAAAAAAAAAAAAAAAAAATATATGTATATAATCTTGTCATTTGCCATAGATGGAAAGAAATACTTCATGCCTTTGGAGAAGGAGAATCAGCAATATTCCAGTGACAGAAAATCTCTAGTCTCACAAATCACAGAGAAATATTTTTTGACATTAAATCACCAGAAGGTTGAATAACTACTTTACTTCAAGAGCAGTTACCAGTAGTTTACTGTCAATCTAGGATGCCAGCTCAAGCAAGGTCCTGTAGTGGTCTGGCTGTATTATTAGCAAATGACTTGGATGAGAGAAGAATAAGAACAATTTTTATTTGTTTATTTATTTTTTAAATGCCATCTGTACCTAACTAAGCCGAAGAAAGTTCAGGGTCAGGACTGTAATTCAGAATTATTGTGATAAACTATGAGAGTAAAAAAAAAAAAAAAAAATCAATAGAGCCAGTTAAAAGCAATGCATTCGGGAAGCAGAGATCACATATATGACTTACAGTTATTAGATTGCAAGTAGAGAAAATAGGCTGAGATAAAACTATCAGCAGCAGCCACAGTAATGACAAATCTTGTTTTAGGATGCAGTAACGGGCATGCTTGATTTAAAATATAGGTAATTGCATTTGCTGTTGCTGTCAAGTTGTTAGCCAGCTAACTGCGTTCCCTTTTGCAGACATGTTTTAAGATAAATGTATAAAAATGAAGGATATTTCAAGAGAGGAAAAAACATCAGTTCATCGGGAAAGCTTGGCGAGCTTTGTTTTATTATTTAATCGAAACAACTTCTCAGCCTAGATATATTCCAGTGATGGACTGCTCTCCATAGACACGGAAAATAGAAAACCAGACGATATTTTTAGAAGAAACGACTTGGTAGTTCTTAAAACAGAACTACTAAACAGTAATATTGGTGAGAATAATCTTCGACTTTGTCTACGCGGTAAAGCTGTGAAACCTCTTTCGTTGAATAACATTGAATATTCACTGAGAAACAGATTCAACAAACGCCTGCCAAGAACAGCTTATATATGTTCAGCCCTACTTCAGAGAAGGGGCAGACTTGGTCACATTTTAATACTTCCTTAAGCTCTGCATTTCTATGGCTTCTGCATCAAGTGGCTTGTGGTTGCCATGTACAGAACAGACCCTCCAAAAAAAAAAAATTCAATACGTTGCTAACATCAAGATTTATCTTCTCTTGATGTTGATCACATCTTAACTCTGATCGATAAATATTGATCGACACAGACTAAGCTCATTATCCGCTTATTAATGCTAATGGAAGTCTTACACCTAGTAGCTTAGATTTAATTCTCGGTTACATTAAAATAGAATAAACTGGTCTGTTAAGCAGAATTTTTTTTTTTTTTTTTTTTTTAAGAAAACCACTGAAATCGCATTTCTGCACGGTAAGCCTACTTTTAGAATCATTCAACTGAAACAGAGAGCATAGTAGTTTTATTATTATATGCATTGTATTCACTATCAGTATTTCCTGCGTACCCACTATTAGTGAATAATGTTGTCTATTAAGAATAACAGATCGAGTAAAACTACTAAAAAGGCTTGGCTTACATGCTGAGTACTCTTATACCAAAAATGGTTCATGATTTTTTTTTTAAATCGTAACATAAAGTAACCAGAAATGTTATCGTAACATAAAGTAACAAGAAATGTTCATCTGTTTGTTAACAAAAGAAAAAATAAACATGCATAAAATATATACTTATTTATTTTGTAACAAGTACACGAAAGGAAAACACTTATCTTAGATCTCTATTAAACACTAAAACAACACCAGTAAATCACTTAAGTGTCTCTTAACTTATAACAACAGTACAACGGGACTACAACCAACTTGAAATGGATCGCTGAGCCAACTTGATGATAAAGCCAGTGGGCACGCATTTATGAATACAATTAAAAAGTGAACACACCAACAGGAAAGTAGCACAAAACTTTGCATTCAAGAAACACCTATTTTACAGTTAACTAATCTTCAGGCTTCCATAGACCACAAACACTAACTGGATGGTAACAAAGAGTTGTTTTCAGGAACTAACGGATTTTTTTTTTTTAATTATATTAGGACTAATTGTACTACATATTTCACCTGTATATCTTGACTGTGCAATGAACAGTTGTATATATTGGAAGTACGGGAATGATAAGAAAAATACACAGATAAAACCAGACACTTACCTTTCCAGTTGATCCAAATGCAAACAGGCCAAGGTCTTCATAAGACATGACAGCTGTTAACGAGAAAAAACAAAACAAAACCAAAAATATTTCTAACTCCAAAATCACCTAAGAGCTCCAGTTTTGCCTTTTTTTCCTTTTTAAATGAACACAGTTCAGGATAAAATTTATAGAGTATTTTATATTATTCACTGAATAGTTTTTATATACACCTGTATTCCAACTAAAAAAATACAACTAGATCTAGAATCATTCACAGATTTTCCAGAAATTCAATTTAATATTAGAAATAGTATTATTATTTTTTACTACTACTATGCTGGCAGCAAATTACCTTCTCCCAACAACTTTTGCAAGTGATACTACAGATGAAGAATTTTGAAATTAGTCTCAACAATTAGTTGTAAGCTATCATTTGTTAAGTATGCACTTGCTTTTAAATGAAGACGATAACAGAAAATCTGTTTTCGTCTCTCTATGAATACAAACATCAATTATCACGTTGCCAGCTTTTAAAAACTCTACTCATTTCCAAGGCAGCTGAAGGTAAACACCTTCCTGCCTTGAAATCAGTTAGAGAAAACAAACAAAACACAGCGCACCATAGCAAAGACAAAAACAGAAGAAAACAAAATGCCTGCCCTTACTTGCACCTCACTTAAATAATTACATGGAAATAAGCTGTGGTTTCCTGTACTCTTTTGTTGAGCTTTAGCTGAAGCTCACTTCTAATATAGCTGGAAACTCAAAACAATCCCTCCTCGGAAGGGAGGAAGTCCTGTTAAAGCCCTCCATTGTTGTGCTGCGTTTTGTTATGAGGAGCTCCAGCGATAGCAAGAAGATGAAAGCTCCCCGAGAAACACCCCTCCCTTTCTCAGTATATAATAAAGCGGTCCAGAGTTGTAAATGCCTCACAGGGTAAAATTAATCCCCAAACCACATAGTTGTATTGTCATAACGTTTGCTTTCCCTCCCTGGTTTCTACCTGGTACACAACCGTTCCTGCTCCCATCGCGTCCTAACTGAGGGCGCAGCCCTGCAACCCGAGCTGCTTGGGGCAGACCTTCACACCTGAGCGAAGCTGCTCTGAAATAAATGAAACGAGACCTGGGAGAGCTAGGCAAGGACCAGGATCAGATGGCAGGACTGGAGCCTTGCACTGCCAGCCATGGCATCGTCCCTTCGTTAGGTACTGCACACATCGGCTCAATGCACTACCGAAAAAATAAAACTTCATCTTCTCACAAGGCTTTGTCGAGGACGACGTTCCACGTTCTGCTCTACGACTGACATTAATACGCTATGAAACAGCAAATTAAGTGACAAAATTAAATAAGCCAGAGTCTGCTCACAGCAAAAACCTGGAAAATTCTCCTATGTCTGCCGTTACACTAAGTTATACACAGATACAATGAAACAACGGATGTGTTACCAGATTTTACCCTGTGTCTTTCTTTGTTTATATTTACAAAGCAGTTGATCACAAGAAAAAATAAAAATAGCATTTTAGAAGGCCATTCTCAATGGCATCAAATAGCAGGAAGCTTTTAAATGTGTTTAGAAAAGAGCTGCTTTTACCGCGTGGGAACAAATACAGACAAACAGGGAGTTACCAATAAAGAGAGAACAAAGTTTCCACGCGATTCCAAAAGCGCAAAATGAAACCTTAGGAGAGTATTTTCTGTAGTTACTGTTTTTGTAATCAATTTAGTTCTGTGAATACTGAGGAAGCCTTAATCACATTACTTTTGTAACTTCAAAAACACATGGAACAAAAAATTAGGCACTATGGACAGAAACACACTCTGCCTGGTTGGCTTAATTCCTAATATGTTATTAACGCCATAAAGAAATTACCCATTTAATCCCAAAGTGAAATTGGAAAGGATAGCACTAACAATACTCATGACTAACTCCAAAATGGAAAAAACAAAGCCACAAAACTTCAAAGTATATCCACTTAAATTCCCAATTCCTCTACTTTACTGAATGGGTTTAGCTTTTGTCAGCCCAAACCCTAAAACAATTTATGTAGGACTGAATTAACACTGGGAGAAAACACTGACTAATCCAAACCCAACACTTTACACATGGCAATATCAGCTTTCTAATTCTTTTGGTCTACACAAATCATTTGATTTTGACAAAGTCACTCTAGATCAGCATCACTTTCAAACTAAAGGCACTTCTTTGTTTTTAAACTACAACTAAAATGCTTGAGCTTAATAAATTTTGGTCTCTGTTTAAAATGGAATTAAGGTTTCCGTTTTGGAAGGTATTTTATATGTCAACTCTTTCCTAGGATTACTTTTATGACTTGAATACCTGAGTGAATAGCTTACAAACACTCCAAACTATTTATATATATATATATATATTTTTTTTTTACCTTCCACCCATCGTATTTTCCAAGCTCATTTTTGATAGAAAACTACTAAAATCCCTAATTCCTTGCCATGAATTAGTCTCAATATTGTACTACTGTTCACAAACATCTGCATGTTTTACATATTAAAAAAAATGCTCAGTTATCTACTTTGGAAGCAAGCATTTATACTGATTTTACTTTGCAAAGGCAGAACTGGTCATAATTCTGGAATGGTATTTAACATGAAATTAGTTCAGTAATTTACAATAAAATCTCACCGCTCCAAAAAAAAATAAAAGAGCAAAGAAAAAAAAAAGCACAAACAAGAGCCATAAAGCCAGCAGATATCTAGAAATAATTCTAGTGCTAGTATGACCTGTCAACGTTAACTGATAACCAATTATTAACCATAAAGTGCTAGTTTCAGACAAGAAAAATACTTTACCCTGTTGTTCACCATTATTCTTTGCTTTTGGATATATGCATTTCAAAAATTCTTCCTGGAGGCAGAATTTTGCCTTTAGACAATAAATGAAGAGTTAAACCATTCTTGTGTATTAGCTCTCTAAGTTCAGTTTTTCCCCTCTCCTTCCTTTGCACCATCCCCTGCAGTTCTTTTGCAAGGATATCTTCTTATTTTACCAGATAACAACGCCAATTTACCAGATAATAACTACCAAGGGCCTAAGTAATACAGAACCTCCGATCATTTTTTGTGATATTTGTTCACCTCTTGTCTCAAACTCCCTTTTTTCAAATGTATCTTTCTAGCTATTTATTTCAGGTCTTGAGTCCTTTCTAACAAGCAGAGCTCCAAGAGGGAAAAAAAAAGAATGCCAGAGACTTGGTCCCAAATCATCAAACACCCAACAGTATCACACATAAAAGCAGCCCTACCTCTGAAGACTTTTTTAAAGAACGTATGAAGAAGATCACTCAACAGGTGAAGACAGGAGCAGCAGATCTAAGAAGAATCAGGAAGCAATCATCTCAGAGACCAAAGCTAGCTACAGAAAGCACAGCCAAGAAGGAAGAAATGGAAGCTTTCTCCCACCACCTTTGAAAAGAGGGGAAAACAGATGAGATGAAACAATAACCAGGTGACTGTAAGAGATGGAGACTTCCTCCTGTAACATCTCTGTACACTAGAACTCAAGAAACCAGCCAGTTATTTCAGTAATAATTTTTAAAAGCAAGAATTAAAACATTAGCAGCAGATTAGAAATCAGATGTTAGAATCTACTCTCTAGACATTCTCAGAGCAGTATAATTTTTAACTAAGGGCTGCAACGTGACTTCACACTCAGTATCAAAAATGCTGTAATAACACACATCCACAGAGTGCCATGGGAATCGTAACAACTCAGTTTGATTACAAAACCTGACAGGTATCCATGCTGAACAGTGAATAAGTCTATACAAGTAGGGTAGTGAAAGTTGGCTGTTTGTGGTTCTTAAGCCTTTACTGAAAGCAACAGCGAGACTACGTATGGAGGCAACCACACACTAAAATGGTGTGGTCCAACTGGCACCAAAACAATTTTGCTACAGACACACGGGATCTCTCTTTTTGGAAAGATGAGGGATGCATTCTGAGAAAAAGTAAAACTGAAAATCTAGAAACCAGATCGTTTTGCACTTCCTTTTTATAATGCATTTTGAAATGACAATTCTATGGCAGTTAGCAATCATTAAGAGATCTAACATATTTCAACAGCAGTGAAACATGGCACTATGTTAACATGTTGTTAATTAAAATAATTATATGGGTTCATGTCTTTTTACTACAGGCAAGGAAAAGTTTCGGAGATCACTGTCAGATAAATCCTTTCCGCTTACCAGTCTGAATGCACATACTGAGCAGAAGAAACACAGAGTAAGAGGCAAGGCTGGCGACAATCAGCAGCAAGATGCTGAAAATACAAGAGGTTGAAATTTAAGGCATTTTTACAGGTCAATGCAGTTTCTTTCTTAAACAACAGAAAAAAAGATTCCATTGCACACAGCGTATCACAGGACCCAATTTCCTCATTTTATGGCTTTTCTTTGCTGACTGCGGTTCACTTGGTCACTGACTGTCCCAACCCCTGCTAAAACCACAGCTTCTCGTATCACGCACCGCTGCGTGGGGTGAAGACGTGAATCACAGCAAGGCCGTGACACAGAAACACAAAGATTAACGTGAAATAAAGCCGGGTTTGTGGCCAGAGAGCAGTACGAGCTGGCAGCCTTGGCCCAGTCCCAGCTCGGTGGGCTCACGCATTTGGGATGTGCAAGCACCCCCCTCCCAAAGGCCCATTGCTGTAGCAAAGCAGCACTCAGACATAAATATATGGGTGCAGGGGGGTGTAAATATATGGGTACAATGGGAGAAATGCCCCCAAAATCACCACCGAGCAGCAATATCAGTGTTCCCATGTGAGCAACCACAGCAGAGGTGGCAGCGCTCACCAAGGATGCCCGCAGCACTCGCTGCTCCTTGGCTCCCCGCCCCCTGTCATTAATCACACCCTCTTAATTAACTGTAATTAATTAATTCTCCCCCCCCCCGCTCACCTGAAGCCCAGGACGCCGGTGCTGGCCATGGCGAAGGACAAGCCCAGCGCCCCGCTGCCCATGATCGCGTTCATCAGGTTGAGCACCGCGCAGCCGAACGAGGAGCCGGGGGGCGGCTGTGGGGACGGAAGGGCGGGCAGGGCGATGTGAGGCGAGACCCCAGACCCCAAACCCCAAATCCCCCCCCCCCAGCCCCTCCCGGCGCCCCCCTCTCACGCACGCTGCTGGGCGGCGGCGGCAGCAGCGGGGCGGACTCGTCCCAATCCCGGTCCTGGTCCTGGTCCCATTCCCGGTCCCATTCCCGGTCCCGATCCCGGTTCCCGTCCCCGGGCCCCGCGCCCCCCTCCCAGCCCCGCGCCCCCCGCGGCTCCTCCATGGCCCCGCCCGCGCCGCGGCTCCGGGAGGGGCGGGGCCGAGCCGCACCGAGGGGGCGTGGCCACAGGCAGATGGGGGCGTGGCTACAGGAGGTGGGCGTGGCTAAAAGCAAAGGGGCGTGGCTACACACAGAGCGGGCGTGGCCTCTACACAAACCCCGCCCCCTCACCGCCATGCGGAGCGGCTTAACGTCACAGTGCGCGCGGTGGCGATGACGTCACGGGGGCGCCAGCGCGCGCGGCGCGGCTCGGCATGAGGTGAGGGCGGGGGTGGGGGAGGGTGGCGCGCGCGCGGTTGCCATGGATACCGCTCCCCCCCCCCGTTGCCATGGCAACCGCGCGGCCTACCCGCGGGGCTGCCCCGCGCCCGCCTGGGCCTAGGCCGCGGCCGGCCCGGGCCCCGTCTGGGGGTCGCAGCCCCCCCGTGGGGCCTCCCCGGGGGATGCGGAGTGTGGTGGTGAGGCGGGGGCAGGGAGCAGGGCGATTTCTATTATTATTTTTTTTTATTTGGCTTGCTGGGGTTAATATTGCGTTTATTGGAATAGGGAGAGGCCGCGGAGGTTTGGCAGGAGGGGCTGATCGCGCTGCTTCAGGTTAGTTAAAAGTTTAAGAACGCGTTTGCAGAGGGAGAGAAGTTGGTAGGGTAGAATTCGTAATAAAGGGCTTTTACAAAGCTGTTGTGGGCTCTTCGGTACAAATGGAAATTCTGGTTTAAGAGAGCAGCAAATCCGTGTGATTTGCAGCCTTTTTAATGGAATGGTTACATCATGTCTATAAAATGAATGATTTCTCTTCTAGGACGCTATGGAGATTCGGATGCTCTGCCAGACTACTGAAAGCTAATCATTCCAGGACAGCTGCACCAAATACATCACTTCCAGCAGTTTGGATGCTGTTGGCGCAACATTCTGGCAGAATACCTGGCCTCCCTGCAGCAGCTCAGACAGCCAATTTCTGTACAATGCGTGAAGCCGTGGAGGAGAACGGCAGCCCCGAACTGTACTCGCCAAATCCCGAAGTGCGAGGGATGACCCTGCTCAACAGAGAAGCTTTCAAAAGGACGGTCGTTGTTCCGGTTCTTAAAGTAAAGAAAGAAATCGTCCACGCGTTGGTGAAGGCCCTGAAGCACACGGTACTGCAGCGTCCTGGGCTAAAGCGAGTGATTGAGGATCCAGAAGATGAGGGCAGTAAACTTGTTATACTGGATCCTCATCAAGTACCCGAATTCTCGCTGGGACAGGCAGAGCAGGAGGTATTAAAGCAGCTTAACATTCCTCCTGAGGTGTCCAGGTATAACTTGGAGCTGACTTACGAGAATTTCAAGTCAGAGGAGATCCTCCGAGCGGTCCTTCCCGAAGGCCAGGATGTCACCTCTGGTTTTAGCCGCGTCGGTCACATTGCTCACTTCAATCTTAGGGACCATCAGCTCCCTTACAAACATTTGATTGGTAGGTAAAAAACTCTGATCAGAAAAGTAATTCTTCACTTCCAAAGATATTTTTAGAATTATTTTACCTATAAGTTATTACCTGTACAAAGAAAACTTCAAAGCGCTCTTCATTGCTTTACGTTTTGGCTTTAAATAGCTTTGTGCAGATCCTTACCTGTACACAAAGTGCAGCTCTTTCCTCTTATGCAGTCACACTTCGCTGAGCACTGGATCAGGGTAAAGTACATGCTTCAGTAAGATCCCTTAACATCTGCAATCGTTGGAGGGAGGTTGTTCTATTATACACACTTTTATAAACGTGACTGTAGGCTGTCGAGTTTGTATCTCTTAGAACATTAAGAGGCTGCAGTCCCTCAACCATCGTATCTTCTGCCCTTTCTTTCAGGACAGGTTATAATCGACAAGAATCCAGGCATCACCTGTGTGGTGAATAAAACCAGCATTATTGACAGCACGTACAGAAACTTTGAAATGGAAGTGCTCGCTGGAGAGAGCAACCTGGTCACTAAGGTACAGGATTTTTTTTCCCCTTTTATTTTAAATTTAATGTGCTAAAACCCAAAGGTGTACCAAAAAGCGGTGAGGAAGAGACACTGATAACACCATTCATTTGCACGGTGCCCCCTCACACCTCTTTTGGAGTGTGAGAGTTGGCAGTTACTGCTGTCTCGTTTTGTCCTGCTTTGCCACAAGCAAACTCACAGCCGTAGGGATCAGGCAGGTAAGGGTTCTCCCCACCTCACAGCCTGTTGCCAATAACATGTAAAAGCAGCTGAAGTAGGGGTTTCTTACTGAGATACTAGTTACAAACTTGGGGGTATTTCTCACTCCAAGGCCAAAACATTTAGTGGATTTGATCAAAAAAAAAAAAGTTTCTTAATTTTACCAGTCCTTGTACTTAAATCTCTCTGTCTTTGCAGCTTAAGCAAGAGTTTGCCTGATCTTAATTCTTTTTCTGACAGCTAGAGGACAAACCTCATCTCATTTATTTTGAGATCTTTCATGTGAAAAGCATTATTAAACTGCTAAGTATTCTTCCCTTGGGGTTCTTGTCTTTAGCTGGAACCTTGGCGGCTGGCTTGACCAAAAAATATCTTTCATAGCTGTTGGCAGTTTTATTCTTTTAGGAGAGAAAATACGAGGTTAGCAAAGTAAGGAGCTGAATAGCTCGGTGGCAAAGAACAGCCTGCACATGGACTGCAGAAGGCATTTGAACCGTCAGGTCAGAAGGGACGATCAAATATTTTGCAGATGATTTTGGCTCGTTACGCGCACATCTGGCACACCGCTGGGCTGCCAGGTCCACCTCAGCGTCTTCCCTGCTGGCAGAGCAAACGCTGCGGTGATCTGGGTCACACCGTGCGGGTGTGGTAGAGCAAAGTGGGTGTTATCCTGCATCCCTCTCATCTGAACAGGCACCATTTCTCTGTAGGTCTGTTCGTAGGGCAGCGGCCATCGCAAAGCCTGGGTTTGGCTCCGTTTCCAGACTCCATCACCCCGAGAGAAAGCGCAGCATTTTTTCAGGCTGCACAATTGGCTCCCAGCGGCTTTGAGTTTGGCTGAGTGCTGCCGTTCTCGTGCTGCAGCGCTCTCAGGCACTTACTGACTGTGTAGACGCTGTGCTAAGGTTTGAGGCATCTTCCCAAGATCTGCTTTCAATAAAGGAGTTTTCAGACAGCCACAAAGCATTTGAAAAGCCTCAGATTTTTATTTTATGGCCATTCGAAGTTGCTGCTTTATTTCCACCTGGTGATTAAGACGTGCGTAAGCCAGTCATGTGGATTGACAGTTGGAACGTTCCTGATGGCTATTTGTGATGAGTAGGGCTGTTTATCCAAGATTTCTGTACACTGCTAATGGGAAAAATGTCAATGTACACATCACCTTCTGATAAAGCCCCTTGGTTTTTAGCCGTCTTAATTACTGGTATTGCTTTAACCTGTCTGGAATTTGAACGCAGAGACTTAACCAAATGCTTTGGACTTTCAGGTCAAAGAAAATAATATCTCATATGAGTTGGACTTTGCTAAGGTCTACTGGAACCCCCGCCTTTCCACAGAACACGGCCGTATCGTTGAGCTTTTAAAGCCCGGTGATGTCCTTTTCGATGTCTTCGCTGGGATCGGACCTTTCGCTATCCCAGCAGCAAAGAAGAAGTGCGTCGTATTTGCAAACGATCTCAACCCTGAATCCTACAAATGGCTTCTGCACAACTGCAAGCTAAACAAAGTAGACAACAAAATCAAAGCGTTCAACCTGGATGGCAGAGACTTCCTCCTGGGGCCAGTAAGAGAGGAACTTAGTAAAGCGCTCGCGCTTGAAAAAGAGGCGCAGAAACCCGCTGTCCATATAGTCATGAATTTGCCAGCCTCGGCTCTTGAATTTCTGGATGTTTTCAGGCATCTCTTGGTCGGAGAGCCCTGCGGCGCTGCTGTCCTTCCCACGGTGCACTGCTACGGCTTCTCCAAGCACGAAAACCCAGCCAAAGAGATTCAGGAACGGGCCGAGGCTTCGCTGGGAGCCTCCCTGGACGGGCGCTGTGCTACATACCTGGTGAGGAACGTTGCCCCCAACAAGGAGATGCTGTGCATTAGCTTCCAGGTTCCAGCGGATGTGCTGTACAAGAGGCCCTGCCCTGCTGAAGGTGAGGAGCAGCCCTCCCGCTGCACCTTTTGCTCCTTCAGGCCGCTCCTGCTGTGTGTCAATGCTGTTACTGCATGGCACTGAGGTGCAGGTCAAAATGTCGCTTGGTGCGGGTCTTTTGAAAGTCCTCTTAGGCACTTGGTAAAGAAAAGACCTCCCTTACTGCTGTAGCAGTTTTCTTTGTGGCCATTAATGCTGATCTTAAGGCTCATCACTTGTTAAATCCCTCAAGCATTGCGTGGCTTGCGGTTCAGGTCCGTCTGTTTACCGTACGTTCGCTAACTGAATGTTTCTAACTTTCTTCCAGAAAAACCAGCCTCTAAGCGGCTGTGTACCGGCAAAGATTTCACTGAAGAACATGTCGTGAGTTGAAGACCAGAGCTTGGGTAACAACCTTCCTGGTTTGTGTAAGGTACTCCTAGGTTCCATCTGGTCTACCCCTTGTTCAATGAGCCCCTGTGTTACCTGCCTGAGGTGCAGCAATGCACAGCACGTGTCGCAGCTCTCCTTGGTGAGCGTGGCTTCCTGCATTTACTGTTTGTAATCGTGGGACCAGTAACCAGATCGATATTGTTCAAAAAAATAAAACAGCGTTTCTGTAACAGTGTTTGGTACTCCCGTTTCACACCCTGTGACAATTCAGTGACACTGACTGGGATCGTTTTTAGCAGTGATAGTTTGAAAAAGTGGTTTGCTGTGCAAACAGGTTTTTATATTTCGTAGGGCCTGACAAGATGACTTACGTGGGCCCTGCATTTACAGTTTAGAGTAGAATTCTCTTTGACAAACGGTTTTGGTGGTTAAGGGTATTGGGTTACTGTTGGCAGATGCACAAACAGCTCTTATGTAAGCCAGGTAACCTCTCAAAAACTTGACCTCAGGTAGAAAGAGGCGCAAGTAGCCGCGTATGCTCAGCCCTGGGCT